TGGATTTTGAATCATTAGTGTTGAACGTGTTTTTTCGGCCATGAAGTTTGTGAAGAATGAGCTTCGAAACAAAATTTGTGACCAATGGTTAAATGATTGTCTAGTGACATATATTGAGAGAGATGTCTTTGTCACTGTTGTGTTAAAGAACCCGGGAGCCTAGGAAATTAGGCGGAAGAGTATCGAACTAAGTCGAGAGCGCACAAATATGGGGTCAAGTAAATTGAGAGTATTATTGAGTCTGTTAGAACGTAAGTCCCCCTTCCTTTAAAAGGGAAGGGGTTTATATGCAGATTACAACATAGGGTTTCGACCGTTGGTCCAGAGTCCAACGGTCTGGACCCACTAAGATTGGGTTGTTCACTGACGGCGTCCAACCAAATCTTAGTGGGCCCAGACCGTTGGACTCTAGACCAACGGTCAGAACCCTATGTTGTAATCTGCATATAAACCCCTTCCCTTCTAAAGAAAGGGGGACTTACGTTCTAACAGGCACAATAATACTTCAATTTACTTGACCCCATATTTGTGCGCTCTCGACTTAGTTCAATACTCTTCCGCCTAGTTTCCTAGGCCCTCGGGTTCCTTAACCCAACAGCCACTATTAGAAATGATAAAATAATAAATCACTTTCAAAATATGAAAATTAGAGGTTATCAATTATATAAGATGTATTTCACATTTGCAATGTAAAACTATTTTTAATTTGTAATTTCTATAGTATATGTAAACTTTAATGTTACGTATTATGGAGTACTGTTTACTTAATGTTAGAAGCGTGACGGTTGGATACAAATTTTCTAAAAATACGAGCCATAGTTCAAATATTTTGGGTCTGCCCCTGGTAGTAGCTGTCAAAACAAAAAAGAAGAAAGGTAGACATTTTTTTTCTTGTTTTATAAGACTTTTGATTTAGTTTTGAAAGATATAACTTTATTTTTTTTAACTTTACACGGTTAAAATCGTTATTGGTCCTTCAACTTTATGAGTTGTGCACGATTGGTCTTCAAATTTTAAAAGTACATAAATAGTCCTTCAACTTTATGACTTAAAAAAATATTTTAACACAAATATATAATAAAACATATAAATTTTACCAACGATAGGATGCTCGGAGACGTCAACCATACCAAAGTCGACACCAACAAGGATTCTTCATCTGACGTCCACTTTTAAATTGAACGTGCCACCTCGGTCATCGGTTTGTTACCTTTCGCTTTGTGACTTTTCCGGTGTGCACTTTTTTGGTTCCTATTGGTGTAATTGCTTCTAGTTGAGTGTCTGGAACCGACTCTGAGTCATTGAGGTTCACCGATGTTTGCATTTCGAACAACGACGGGTTATTTCCGTACGCTTCAAACAACAACGGATTACTCTCATACGCTCGGAAGAGCCACATCACATACTCGCTTGGCTCGAGATTGTCCAGAGAAAAACCGGAGGGATTCATAATAAAAATAAATAAAATCTATGAATAGTAATTTTTTAAAGAAAGATGGTAACTATAGCAGAGAAAGATTTGATTTGTGTTGAATTTTAAAAAAATTTGATTGAACTTATAGAGAAGGAAAGATAAAAAAAGAGGGAGGAAAACTAATTTTTTTATTGTTAAGGGGGGAGGGGAATAGTGCGTTAAATGTTTGACGCTTGCCGTAGGGGGCAGTGTTTAAAGCCGCCCGGCGTTAAGTACCTAATAAAATAAAATATTCTTTTCATGTCTCATTTTGTAAAACTCTTAACGTAGTTTTTAAATATGTAATTTTTCAAGTCACATTCATGTACCAATTTATAAATAAAATCTATCTATACTATATTTAAAAAAAGGTGAATTTTTTCTCGCACATATGTAAGAGTAATATATGGAAATATTATGCATTTTACTCATTATATATATGTGGATGCATTAAATTTAATAAGCATTAATTAATACTCCATAATTAATGGTAAATGGAATATGTTAAGGGTAATTTTGTATGAGCATTAAAAATGAGAAATTTCATAGAAGTATTAACTAATACGTACTACCTCCGTCCTAGAGTATTTGTCCACTTTCATTTTTACGCATCATCCAATACAATTCTTTAATCCATTTTATTTTGTAATTTGTATATTAAAAAATTAAAGAAATTATATATTAATAATCTATATGTTAAGACAACTCAAACAAGATCACACGTGACTATATTTAGGCTTATACATTGAGAGAATTTGATGAGTCAAAGTGTTTAGATGAACAGTTCCAAAAGTCAAAATCGGACGAATACTCCGGGACGGAGGGAGTAGTAATTAATTAATAATTAATGATAATGTAGAATTTCATATGAGCATTAAAAATGTTTCCATTTGATGGATACCCGGGAATGGGGGTATCCGGCCCAACAGAAAGGCAGCCCAGCCCAACTTCGCTAAGGCCCACTTGACGGGACCAAAGCAAGAATAAATAAAGGACCAGGGAAGACCACCCCGGCAGCGGTACGCGATCGGCTCCGGCAGGGTCGGTCATCCTCGGACCACCCCTGGCCGGCCTTCCATCAAGAGACTTCCGAAGATAGGTCGTGCGTTCGGTCTCGGCCCTGGACAATGGCAGACCAGACCTGGACAAGGAAGCTGACTGAAGTCAAGATTAAGGGGCCCACGATTAGAACCGTGCCATGCCTCTGGCCGAGTTGCTATAGCCACCCTACTTGTAACCTATTTTGTATAGCAGTCCTAGGGTTAATGATGTGGTTGGACGCCGCCAGTGAACAACCCAATCTTAGTGGTCCTAGACCGTTGGACTATGGACCAACGGTCGGATCCCTAGTTGTAATCTGCATATAAACCCCTTCCTTTCCAAAGGAAGGGGGACTCATGTTTTTACTTACATTCAAACTAGCACAATATTACTCTCAGTTTACTTGTCCCCATATTTGTGCACTCTTCGACTTAGTTCGATACTCTTCCGTCTAGTTTCCTAGGCCTCCGGGATCCTTAACCCAACACCATTTTTATTTAAATATATCAATATGTTTTTAATAACAACGGAACAGTATGGTGGAAAGGGAAATATGTTTCAATTTTTATTTAAATGCTATGCCAATTATGGTAAGTGATAAGTGGGAATATGTTTCTATTTTTATTAAAAAAATTATGTTTTTGTATGAGCATTAAAAATGTGTATTTTTATTTAAATACATTAATATGTTTTATTTTTAATAACACCGAAAACAGTAATTCAAAAAGGTGAATATGTTTCTGTTTTTATTCAAATGCTATGTCTGTTAATGGTAAGTGTTGCTATAGTAATTTTGGATTCTATTAATTAATAATTATATGGTAAAGGAGAATATGTTTCTATTTTTATTAAACAAATTATTGTTTTCGTATGAGCATTAAAAATGTTTCCATATATATTTAAAATTTATAACCATTTATTAATTTTAAAATTTTCATTTATTTAAAACTTTATTTAAAATAGTTATTACCATTTTTTTCCAAGTTTAGAATTAAAACTTATTACCATTTTGATCTAAGTGTAAAAATAATAACGTACACTTGGATTTTTTTATTTTATTCCACGGGTAATGAAATATACTTGGAATAAAATTTCCAAAACATTAACTATTTTTGATAATATGAAAAGAAATGAATAAAATAACAAACAATAGAAGTTCTCTATAAAAGTTCACTTTTATTTTTTAAATGAGAAAAATAATTACCTGAATAAAAGTCTCTTTATAATGTATTTAAATGGAATCATAAATTATGAACATGGTCTATGAATAATTCTACTTTGAGAATCAGGAATGTTTTATTTTTCTTTTTTAATATTTAGGGTAAATCTGCTACATTGTACATTGTGGACAGATAATGTTTATTTGGTGATCGATGGTCTCAACAAAAAGGTATCACCGCCTCAAATTCCGGTGATGCAAATGGTTAAACCTAGCATTAAAACAAATTGGACACAAACATTAAAATGTCTAACAAGAGTTTTTTATATTTTAGAACGAGTCTCGGTTACACAAATATTTAATGGTCTAACGAGTGTAAGATAGCCAGCAAAAAAAGACATAAAAGAGAGACACAACAACTATTGCTTTCCGTAAAATGAATCACTGCAAAAAAATTTATTTTTTTATAAATGCTCCTTTGTTTATATGGAGTATTTAGATCTCCACTTTATTAGCAATTTGACAAAATAAAAAAAACAACACAATTAACTCTGAACAAATTTTTTAACCGGAGTTTTGATTAATGTTTTTTATATTTTAGTCACGGAAAAATGTATGTTGTAGTTTCGAAAGTAATAAATCATTATTACTTGAAGATTCTAATATGCAACGAAGACCATATTTTTACAAATTTATACAAGTAATGTGAATTATAAAGTAGTCTTTCAAATATTGTAAATCATTTAACTTTTCTAACTTAAAAAAATTAAATCTCTATATTCTAGTATATACTAATTTGTAACATTCAAAATGATGTTAATATAATTTAGTAACTTAAATATGACACGTGCAACGCGCGGGTATGATACTAGTAATTTTCAAATAAGGGACATAGGAATATTTCATAATGTTTATTTGATTTTTTATGAAATATTTTAAACTAAAATCATAAATTGATAATAACTAACTATAATCATTAATGTGATATATCTAATTTTCAAACTTGTTAAAATATGAATTATATATTTTAAAACAAGTGATATTGTACTGCTCCGTATATGTTATAAAACGTTCAACGCTCCAATGAATTTTGAATGAAAATAATTCAAATGAAAAATATAAATATTGTAAGGAGTGTTGTAAAAACAATATTACTAGTCCTTTTCACATTAACCCTATTCATTTACATCCATACAGTTTCTACTTAGGGCCAAATTAAAACGTGGGAAGCATTCTCCAAAAATAATTTAAATGAAAACTCATTTTTTTAAAAAAACCATGACTACAACAATAATTGCAAAAAAGGAAAAAAAATAACTCTGTTGGGGAAATTTTTGGCTATGCACAAAGAGTAGTAACTAGTAAGTACTTCGTATGAAGTTCCATGTTGCATACAAGTGATGCTTGTAGTAGTCAAATGAGTAAGAATGTTGTACAGATGGGAAATAGAGAGGAAAAAAACAAATAAATAAAACAACACTTTGGTATCCCTACAAAAATTAGAATTTGGTTAGGGGGAATATGATCAAGAACACCCCTTGCTAAATTTAACCTTTCTTCCATTCAAAATGCCAGTCCAAGTGGATTTTGGAGCTGCGGCAGCTAGAGAACAATATGATTTTTTAGAGTGATGAGGAACAAATGTTCATGTCCTCTGTTCATAAGTTTTTTCGTGCACGGGAACACCAGGTCCGTAAATCAACCTGCAACGGTCGCTGAAGGAACTAACTAGTCGAGAGACCACCTCCTTAAAAAACATATTTGCCACCTGAAACACACAATTAGCAAAGTCCTATGATGGATGGCTTAAAGAGAGATAAACACATCTTGTCGTGTCGACCAGAGACATTTAGAGAGAGAGAGAGAGTCACCTGATGATAAAGTGGAGACTGGAACTTGAAGTCCACTGAGAAATGAAGGTTGCATGTTCCGGGACTTGGCCCGGGATTGAACTCCCAGATGTTAATTAAATGATCAAAAAGGTTACTCTCTGATACAGTAGTCTGAAAGTTTAGGTGACAAATAAAATGAAAAGAAATTAGATTTGGAATTAACTTACAAGTTCCAATCACATTCCATAACTCCTAGCAATGGAAGGGAACAAAACTGGGGAACTAATGCCATTTCATAGTCATTCAATCAAACATATTAAGGGCTATACTTAATACTACAAGTCTGGCATGCACACAACAGCTAATCGGCCTCTTGTTATATGTTTCCAATTTCATAATAGTAGAACAATGAGACCAATCAAATTCGGAAGCATGTTTTAAAAACGCACTTATGGGTCGTTGAGAGGCTTGCTTCGATGTGAGACATCTTGAATGGGTATCGAGGCTTATGCCTTGTTTGCAAAATAGGAGGCTTAGTAGCTCATGCCTTGCCTCTCCCAAACAAACCACCTCAATTACCGGACTAACACTTTTGAACTTTGTTTTGAAGTTACCAACTTACAACGGGATTAAATGATTTAATGAATATGTTAACAAACTCAAGCCCACACCCCACCCGCCCCACACCCACCCAAAAAAGAAGTAATTTCTCACCTTTATATATGATGGTTTTTTAAAATCCACATGGGAGACATAACTTTCGACCAGAAATTTGAAACCAATCTCTAACTCAGCATCAAAAGATCCATCTGGATTGCGTCTTAGTATCTCTGACCTTTGGCACCACGGAAGGAAATCTTCATACATGTCAACAGCAGCAACCACAGCAAACATTTGCTCTGGAGAGTATCTGATAATTAAGCCATACAAGTTAGGATTTATGATGTAAGCACTTAAATACGGAGCAACGATTTATTAAGTTGATGTCTCAAATGAAAATAACAATAACTTGGGCAAGTTAAAACTTTAAAACAGTTCTCAAACACGAGAAACCCCATATCTCATGCCAAGTTCTCTAAATCCAAGACATCATGATATTAATCCAAGCAGTATCATAGCATAACATTATAACCATTGAACTCATGAAAAAACTCCAAAGAAAGGTGGTGCCATTAAGTAGGAACAAGTTACATATTCCATCAAAAAATATTCAAAATTCAATACATCTTTAAAAAACGTTTGAAAATTAATTAGTCCCCAAAAAGAATCCTATTTGAACACAAGAAATTGATTTTCATCATATTCACTGGTTTAAACTAAAAGAAGATATTGTCCCAAACATAGTGAAGTTGTCCAGCAAGGAAACCATAGAAACAACTGCTTATGCCTAATGAATGAAAGTGAGCTTTTATAGAGAGAGAGAGAGAGAGAGAGAGAGATGGAGAATAAGAAAGAAAAAGGCATACCCCAAAACACGCTTCTCCTTGTAAACTTTAGACAACATGCTCCCTTCTTCTCCATCGCCGCATCCCAAGAAGGTTCTCCTTTGTATAACATTTGCATTGCTATAAATTCCATCATTGTCGGAAATGCCGGACAAATGAGCAGGAGAAGAAAAGGCCGAATCAATACCGGCAATGCCATTCAAACACCGGGCTCCAGCAGAATTCCCCCATTTCCAACCACTGTCACAATGCTTCCTCCTCCCTAACAGTGCCAAATTCTGACGCATAGACAAACGCCTACACAGCCTCGACGCAGGTATAAACGAAGCCATTTCAAAATTTCTCCTCAGCTCCCTCTGTCGCTCTTATCAAAGAGAGACCAGAAATCGTAAAAAAAAGACGACGAAAACAAATTACAATAGCGAAGCTAGAATTGTGAGGGGCGGCCTAGGAGGCTTGAGGTGATTGAAAAACCCTAATTCAGAACGGGGACGAACGCGCACCTATGATAATTGTGGATGGTTCTGCGAGTTCGAGCCCTAATGCGATCGATCGGCCGGAGACGTGGAGGCGGGCGGAGGAGGAGAATCAAATATCGAACTTCCGATGGTTGAAGACGCAGAGTCCGATTGCGAAACGGGGTTGACAAATTTTTGGTCTGGTCTTTGTTTTTCAATTCTTCTGGAAGGAAGGTTTTGCTGTTTTGAAATTTTTGACGTATGTACGACTTTTCGTTGTAAAGCAAATTCTACGGTCCACAAAATAAGTTTTTTACTATTATTTAAATGATTATTTATTTTTTCAAATAAAAGAATTTAAAAATAAAAAAATTCTTAAGGAAAGAATATAGGGTTCCAAATTCCCCTTGACCATTCGCCAAAAAATGTAAACTACTACTCTTTTTCAATTGGTTTTATATAAAAATTAGGGTAGGATTTAAAAATAAAATATATAGATTTAAAAAATATATATAAGTTATACAAAACAAAAACTTATATTTATATATTATTTAATGAAATGAATAATAAAAATAGTTAAAATTTAATCTTGTGAATAGTGAAACACAATTTAAAATTTTACTCAAAAAAAGAACTAAATAAAATGTGACATGATTATTTTATTTTATTAAATAATTAATAAAAATTTGCAAACAAACAAAATTTTTCTGTAATTTTAAATAATGAAATGCGACATTCTGTTTTGGAAGAAGAAAATAATATATTTCCTGAGAAATTTGCATTGTATTCTGTATCAATTATGACTACTCTCACAAGCGATGGAAAAAATGTTTCCAAAATAGAAAAATTGAGATCCCCTACATGAATGCCCGACCATCCTTGATTTTTGCACCACAAAAATATGTATAAAACCATCACACCAACTTTTCGACACCAAATTTGATATCATATGTTTCATTGACATACACATACAACTATTATATGTGTATGCTTAGTGTCAGGGTTGATGTCACTATAGCATAACGCTTAAAATTAATGCCCGCGAAAAAAGGAGTTCTACAAGAGGAAAAGAGTGGCAAAGACAAAGACATGTAGCAAACAGATATATGTCTTAGCTCAAAATTTTGAATGGACTTCTTCATAGCAGCAGAATAAATATATGTGGCTAATTCTCTTTATATTTTATACATAAATGACAAATCAGCTAATAGAATTACAAGTTTGACTTAAAAAAATGCATTTTGTGAAATGAAATCAGCCGCTTTCCTCCTTGTGCTCATCCTCTGCAATTGATGTGTCTTGCAAATCTATTCTCCCTGCAATAAACATGCCACAAAAAACGACTACGGTTTCAACGAATATTCACCCAAGAGAACGAAGAAAAAAAAAGAAACCGTTAGATACAAGATCTAATTGTTATATTCTTAATAATTATTGTTTGCAAATTGCAATAAAACACGCTAACGTGACAAAATGTGGTGGCATTTCTGTAAATAAACACAACTTCAACATTGCATTGTTAGATAAAAACATGCACATGGGATCGACGTCATGTTTAAATATGATATGCCTATGCATAGAATTATGAGATTCCAAACCCGAAAACAATTGGCAATGGGAAAAGAAACTCATATTCTTATATATTAGCCTTTTTTCAGTCTAAGTGTTCGATGTGAGACTAGAATGGTTGAACAAATCATACAAAGAGATTTATGGAATGCGACGAAGAATGGTTGAACAAATCATACCAAGCAGTGACACTAAGGATGGATGCTTTGGAGGTCCATTGGAACTCATGTCTGTTCCTGCAATTCAAAAGAATATCTACCAATTAATATAAGGTCTCTTTGTATTACTCCCATCCCAAAACTAGGTCAATGAACAATTTATAAATCATGGAATCCTAATATTGCTAAAATGTATTCCTTTTGGTACCCGTAAAGTTTATCCGGTACAAATTCATTCAGTGCGCAAATTTAAGAATAAAATATGCACATAGGCTTTTGATGCCAAGGAGATTGCATATGAACAAAAAGTTGCACACCTGATGATTCAGCAGATTTAAGAACATCAGACTTCTTGAAAGTGAACCCAATAAAGTTGGCATCTTTTGATGTTAGCATCTGCAAGAATCAAGATTAAATAAACGTCTTATTTCCATTCAATTTGTTTTAGTTTGGACCATCTCCATTAGCAATTACGGGTGCTTTTGTTACGACATAAATTTATTGGAGAGGGAAAGACAAAAAAATACCTTCCGCCAAGGTCCAACTCTTGGTGTAGTTGATGGTGCATCTTCTACCTACAAAAGAGCGAAAATTTAAGTGTCCAATATAAATATTTTTGGAGAGGGAAAGAAAAGATACTCACTTCTGGGAACTTTTCAAAATTCTGTGTGTCCAATTCCCCAGAAACTCTAGGCTTATAAGGAGGTTCCATTTCATAAAGCTTTTCCCATTCGATGCCCCTAAACCACGGATGTGCCTGGAAATAAAGTGAGGAAAAAAAGGGAAAGATATGAAGATAAAAACCCACATGTGCATGGAGGAGATGAAATAAGATCATTCATTCAAGCAGTTATTTACCTTTATATCTTCTACCCCTTTCGTCCCCAACCTCGATTCAACATCGCATAACAAGTGACATATCAGGTCCTTTGCCTCATCTGATACTTTTGATTCGGGGAATTTCAAACATGTTTTCCAATTGACAATCTGATGTGACAAAAGGAAAAAATGAACATATTAAAAAAAGGAGTAGCATTTTAAACCTCATTCATCAAATGTATATGAACCAATTTTGAAGAAAAGGTGTGTTTCAAAAGTGAATCCTCACAAGTCACAACTTCACTTGGACAAGAATTAAGAGACAAAAGATTCAATGACCTTACGACATGTCATCCTTTGATGCTCTGAACAAAAGGGAGGATACCCCACAAGCATCTCGTACATGATAGCTCCCAGGGACCACCAGTCACACTCCATTCCATACCCTTTTTTTAACAGAACCTCGGGTGCCATATAATCAAGAGTTCCCACTGTAGAGTACGCCTGCAAATGTCTTTTCTTGAACATGAAACACGTACTGCAAATGAAAAACAGAAAGAAGACGAAGAAAACAAAAGAATACCAATGCGCGCCGGTTGCGCTTCCATTGATGTAGTTGTTCCACTGGCATTGGCCAATGAGATCTGCCACTCCTAGAACTCCCTTCGCTGTCAGACGATGTTGCTTCTCGGGTTGTGATGTCATTGTCTCCAAACAGTATTGATGAATATTTATTCTCCAAGGGCTTGCATAACCCAAAATCAGAAAGTTTTAAATGCCCATTCTTGTCAAGTATTAGATTATCTGGTTTTATATCCCTAAAAGTAGAATTATGTACAGGGTCAGATTCACAAAGACAAACAAAAAGGGGATTTGGAAAGACTAAAAGTTTGACAGACATTTCAATACCTATGTACATAATTATGTTGGTGAATTGAATGAATAGCTAGAATGCTTTCTGCAATGTAGAAACGTGCGACATCTTCAGAGAGGACATCTTCTCTCATCAGTAGTGTCATAATGTCGCCGCCGGGTAAATACTCCATAATGAGGTACAAGAACTCAGAATCTTGGAAAGAATAGAAGAGTTGCACAATGCAGCGACTATCAACCTCCGCAAGCAAATTCCTTTCTGACCGTACATGCTCAACCTGGATAATGAACCAATAGGTTATAATGCATTGAACATGATCTCAAACACACTCCCTCCACCCCCAAAAAAAGTCACAGTTTGATTTCACAAAGTTTAAGGGAGTTGTTGAAAAGTGAAAAGTGTGTGGGTAGGATTAGTTTAGAGGATAGAAAAATGGTGTACGCCACTTAATCATTTCCTTTTGTGGAAAGGAAAAAAGTGGGATGTTTATTTTGGGATGGATGAAAAAGGAAAGTGGGAAATTCTTTTGGGGACGAAGGGGGTTTAAAGTAAGCTCACTAAGTAAACACAAACACTCACTCAACGGAAGGGAAGATTTCTTCTAAGGATAGGACTGTCCTCCCACGTATGGAGAGGACGTCCTAATAAGAGGATAGAAAAGCTGAAGCTGAAACATAATATGCTAATTGTACACTCGTATCCCCTCCACCCCACTGCCAAAAGAAACATGTTGCGCTATTGATAAAGGCAATTTTTAGGAGAAAATTCCTTTTTTTTTGTTTAACCTGTCCACGGCTAAGCATTTCTGACTTCTTCAATTTCTTCATGGCAAAAATTTCTCCAGTACTCTTAAAACGACATAGTCTCACCTGCATTATATGATCAACAAACATCACAAACATTTAGTAATTACATCTGTGATGGTGTGTCCAAGTCAATACATGCATTTGTGAACAGAAAATGAGACGAGAGGATCTAATACTTCTCAGCTATATCACTTGAAATGAAGAATGCCGTTGACATGATTTAAAATAACTATACACATATAGAGTGGATGGGCTACAAGTCGGATCACATGTAAACAGACTTCAAATAAATATCTATGTTTAACTGAAGATTTGTATAGGCTTCAAATGGATTTCTATGTTTAATTGATTTTTTGTGCCCATTGTCATTATATAACAGACAAAATCAAAATGACATGTTAAACTTCTCCTGCTTCTTACTTTCTATAAAGCTTTGGATGATAAGTGCAGACACACATCAAGTTCTACCTCTGTTTTCTATAAGGGTAAGGTTGTGTACACCGCGACCCCATAAATTTATACAAGTCCCATTTGTTTAGTAATTATAATGATAATAATATTCCTCATGTCCTAAAATGAACTTCTCACTTCCCCTTTCGGCCGTCCTAAAATTGCTTCTAAATCTAATGAATTAAAAACAAAAGCTGTCAATGCACGCAATCAAGAATCCAAAGAACGGATAGCAAATGAGATGTTTCAACTTGCCTCGCCAAACGCGCCTTTACCAATGGCAGTTAGCTGTTCAAAATCATCAATCCCAACTTTGTGCCTCTGCAACCTCATATACTCCGTCTCCTTCTTCTCCAAATTCCTCAGCATCGTCTCCTGCTCCTCGCTCGGTATCTGCGCTTCTTGAGCTCTCCTCTGCAATGTCCTTCGCCTGAAAATAGAGAATCATAATTTTAAAAAAACCAAACTTTCCCCTCAAAATCAAAACAAGAACCAAAAAAGGGTGAGAACTTGATTGATTGATTGATCAATAAATATACCTTTCCATGCGATCGTGAAGCCCTTGGAGGTAGTTCTTGTAATGATTCTCGATGAACTGTTTGGCGGCGGCGGATTTCTGGCGGGTGACCGGAGAGGAGACGGTGAAATCCGGGTCGAGGTTGTTGAAGACCCGCTCCGGTGGGGTTAGGTTGATGGCGCCCAACCTCACCGTGCCGTCGCCGCCGCCGGCCTCCATCAAAAATTTACCACCGGGCGAATCTATGGGCAAGAACAGTAAGAAGTGTGAGGGAACTTCTTCTTGACAAGACTCTGTTTGGGAATCGAATTTCTCCTTTTTAGAAGAAGAAGAGTTGAAATTACAGTGGGAAAGAAGAAGTTTGGGGAACCTGGGCGCGAGTTGCTTTGTGATAACGTTGTTGGTTTGTGTCGGTCAGGGCAGGCCAGTGGTAGTAGTGGCTTTGAGGTTTTCCGGCTTTTTGTCTGGTTTGGTTTTGGGGATTGATGGTACAGTATATTCCTCAGTGTATTCAACTAACTTTAGAGCTGTTTAATTAATTCGTTCATGTTTCCCAGCTCTGATTATCTCATCTCTTTAATTACAATAGTTTTCTAATTACTATCCCTCCGTCCCTAAATATTTGCCACATTTATATTCCCAAAGTAAAATATCAAATTTTTTCAAATCATTTTATTTACATATTGATATAGAAATAAAAAATAAAATTTACATATCAAAAAACTACATGAAAAGTTTTTCGAAATAAAAGGTGTCAAGAATACTTTATTTTATCAAATAACCAATGAAAACATAAGAATAAACAAAAATTCCCGCAACTGCTGAAAAAGCAAACGTTGCAAATAATTTGGGACGGAAGGAGTACTTTTATACCCACTCCCTCTCTATATTTTTTTGGTTTTTGCGTACGGGCAACTTTAAACTTCATGATTTAACTTTACAAAGTTTAAAAATAATAAAAATATGAATAACATTTGTTTTTTAAAAAATGAAAACTAGTTTCAGACGGCGTACGTTAATAGGATTCATACGCTTTTCGTACACAAGTAGAAATTATAATGTTAATTGTCTACTCCCTCCATTCCATATTAACTGTCTAATAATACTTTCTTGATACATAGGAAAATGGATGAAAGTAGACATAAAGTATGTCTACATTCATCCATTCTTCAATGTATCAAGAAAGTGTTATTAGATAGTTAATATGGAATGGAGGGAGTATGTGCTATTGATTATTATTATTATTCATTTACTTTTATTGAGGTTTAAATAAAAGTTGTGGTATAATATGTCAATGACACACATTGTCATCATAATGTAAGGTGGGTTTCAGAGCTCTCTATATCGATGTGCGTCAATATCTTATTAATTATTATCATCATTTACTTTTATTTAGGTATAAAGAAAAGTTAAATTCTCGTTTAAGCATTATATCAATGTTTTACTCATATATATTCAGGTATTTAATGCTACTACGCACATGATAGGGAGTATTTATTTCGGAATTGGAACGGAAAACAAAAAAATGTACTCTGTATGTTTTATTTTTGGATGAATAGAGCATTAAATAAAGAAATATGATGAATTATCTAAAATATCCTAATGCTTGATTTACAAGATTGATCACAGTACTCTAGTTAGCACACTACTTACAAGTTCCTTCAACATATATAATACTTCATCCGTCCCAAAATATTTACCACATTACGCAGAACGAAATAAATTTTAAAGTTCTTTCAATTCATTTTGTTTAAAAACTATGTCAAAAAATTTTAAAACAAAAAGTGACAAGAATATTTTATTTTATCAAACAATTAATGAAAATATATAAACAAAAATTAAAGTCATCGTTAAATAGTAAACTCTGACATTTTTTGTGAGACAAAGGAAATAGTTTAAATCATTGGACTTTTCGTCTCCATTTGATACACAGAATTCAAAGTATGGAATTAGAATTAGAGACAAAAATTCTAATTTTATTGTTAGATAGCACAAAAATATGTAAATTTAGAATTGATAATTCTAAAAATGAATAGATATTGAAGAATTCAATTCCATCCAAATCAATTTCATAGAATTTTAATTTTTCAATTCAATTCTAATTCCATCAATTCCGTGAACCAAACTTAACCTTCATAATTTTGGTAGGAGAGTAATATTCATCGACTATTTCGAGTTGGTATGTAAGTGACCAAAGAGTGAAGGAGAACTAAGAATTCAAACGCCACATAGACAAACCAAACAATCATTTCCCTTTCCAAATAATGATGATAATACAGCTGTGTTATTTTGACACTGACTATCAGTGTCATATATGCACTCAATCCTTTTCAACACCCTACGGTGCTCCAATCGGCCCCGGAGGAGCTCCCATATCCCCTAAAAACCTCCCACTCTCACTCCCCCCCCCCCCCAATCTAGCCCCAAATTTGGGTGACAATCCATTATCAAATTTTGTGACCCAAGTTAGGGCAGGTTAGGGAATAGGGAACAAGGCAAGCAGGGGTGGGAGGTTTACAAGAGAGATTAGAAGAGAATGAACTACTTTAGGGTCAACGAAGCACTGTTGAACTTCCAAATAGACCAGTGTCATATGACACTTGTAGCCCGTATCAAAAGAATTAGCCTCATAGTAATAAATTAATAATCAAATTTCAATTCAATGGAATGTGACAAAACTTGACATGAAACTCACAGGATAATGCCTGTTTCAAGTATGTTAAAAGCCAGAACACTCACTAATAAGGATATCCAGGAGTGCAGACAGTGTCCTTCCAAGAGATCATTTTTCTGCGGTCCCTACCTCGGAAAGATCTAGAGACAAGTTCACCGCCGACGGGTTTGCACAGACCGACATCAATCACGGACGTACCCGTTCTTTTCTCGGAATTCATTTCTCGGTCATCCAAGCAAAAGTCAAACAGCATAGCGAGACAACGGACTTGATGGGCCAAGAATTTGTTTTCATCGTCTGTTGGCATTACTTTCATTATGTGAACATTTACCTGCAGGAAAACAACACATCTACAACTTATGGAAGAGAGATATGCAAAACATTTGGAATTCAAAACAAAAATCACTTCGGACTCATTTGGGAACAACACTTTCAATCAAAGTTAGGGTTTTGAATTATTTTTTCAATGGTGCAAATTAACTTTGAAATGCTAAAATGGAATGATGTCCTTAGATAGCCTTTTTCAAAAGGTTAAAGATGTTTCCCAACATGCACTTACTAAACAATAAATTGGGAAGTAGTTCTGATCTTGGCATGTTTACTTTAGGAGTGATTGTACTACAAAAGACCATTACAAAGGGCATGACATGAAACCGCCCAAGTTTAATGAGTTATGGGCTATGGCATCTCTTTGAGTGGCATGGGGAAAGAGTATCTAATTATTACATAGGAATACATACAACCTTTTAGGGTCCATTTCGAACTGGGAAAATGCTAAGGAAGATAATTATAGGAGAAATGTGGGGCAAAACAATAGTTCAAACTTTAATAATAAAAAAATTGCAGAGTATATTTCTTCAAACAAAATTGAATATTTATTCATAAAGACTAATCATATTTTCCATGTTAAAACCAAACACAACAAAATAACTTCACAACAATTGTTTTTCATTCTCTAGCATTATTTGAATCAGATAATGAACTGGATGATCCAACTCAAGCTTATGCACCAAGCAGCTGTACTTTACTACAGTTTACAATTTCTTACCTCTGCCTCCATGGCACGGAGTTCATTATACCACTCTGAGCAGTCTACCTCATAAAAGCTCTCATCTTGAACTGATGCGTAAAGTTTCAGTCTTATAAACGGTGGCCTAAGAGGATACTCCATGCTTATTTTAACCTGCCACAATAATTGCCAAAAATCTAAGCCAACTCTAAACTTTAACCAGCCACACTAACGGACCAAAATTCGAGCACGGAATGTGGTATGTGTAGCTCAATAATTGAGTTTTCCCTACATGCTCTACTGCAATATTTGACATGCCCCACTGTGGGTCTCGGGTGCAATGTCAAAGAAAATAACACATGGGATGGATAGTCAAATATTAGAGTGAGCATGGGGATGCAACAAAAAAAAAACCTAAAACTTATTTTGAAAACATTATGAGAATGAATCTACCTGAGCTTCTAATCTCATGATCTTTTCCTCATCATGAACATTTCTGGTTAAGAGAAGAATATAGTCCACGGTCTTGCAGTCAGCCCATGACTTGTCATCCACATGAGCCAATGCACTTCCAGGCATGTCGTTAGCGTCCTGCACAGCTTGAGCTGGATCATCCAGTTCATTATCTGATTCCAACAAAATAAGGTCTACGTCCTCCTCATGTTTCTTAAAGCTTGGAGACTTCCCCATGTTAAGAGGGGATATGACACGCTTTGAGATGAAAGCAAGCTTTATGGAATTATCATCAATGGCCTTCCCTTCTGTTGGTGTGAGACTAAGATCATTTACTCCAGCAGTCGCTAAAGTTAAAGAGGGAAGTTCCCCATCCTCTCTGGAGTTTTCAATCTTTTCCTTTGAAGTATCAGATGTCACATCATCATGCTCGATTACCTTTTCTGCATCTGCAACGGGCAATGACAATGTTGAGCTGCGTGTTGAATCAAGCGATGACCAGCCATGCAAACAGCAACGAGGTTTATGGGAGGTCCACGGAACACTCTTACAAGTGAGAACTGGCCATTCCAACTTCTTCAGAGAATCAAACTGCTCCCTGTTAGTCAGTTGAATATATAACTTTAAATGCTCTGCAAATATTCCACTACATCTACTTGAGAAAGCCTGGAGTGCAAACTGAATGCGAGAGCACATCAGAAATCAAACCTGTGTAGTCTTTTTTTATGTTCATTTCATGCCACAAAGTAATACAGAAAAGGACTGTCAAAACAATGCAAACAGACGATATAACTGCCAAGACATCATAGTAGCATACTTCTACTTTCAAAGTCACAACACATTCCATAAACTCGTCCAGAAAAGGTTATGAGATGCCCTGATCTCAAAAACGAGAAAAAAAAACAAAGCTCCCACTTCTAAGCTATGTATATTTGGAGGTTCCAATGATGCTAAACATACAGTGAAGTAACTCACGCAAGAGCAAGCTGAGCCTTTTTTCGAGCACGGATTCTTTGCACAACTGTTTGCACACGATTCTGCTGGCGATAAAGTGACAGCCCAGCTATAATTGATGAATGCTTAGCTGATTCTTCATTCGAGTTTTCAAAGCCACCCACCAATGGTGAAACCTCTGGCAAAAAATCAATCCCTGCAAGATGCTGTGCCCACTTGTACGGCCGTGAAGTTCTTGTTTTATCAAATTCAACAGAACTGTCAATCATCTTAGCTGACTGTTGAATGCACAAGAAAAAAATTGGGGTGTTAAGGAAATAATTGTGACTCACGAAACATGAAATACTATGTGCATCAGAATTCAGAATAAGAAACCTGATGAGGAAGCTCTAGGCCAGTATCATCAGGAAACAAGTTGCACAAGATGTCCTTGCCCGAATCATCTTCAGAACCCTCCACCCCAACACATACTACATTCAACTTCATCAAGTATTCAAAAATCAGAGTTACTATCTTTGTGGGGCTCAAATCAGGAGTTTCATCATCAAGAACATGAAGAATGACTTTCAGAGGGTGTGCTTGATAAATTCTTGTGTGGTCTACACTTTCCTTGCCTGGAACTTTCCTTGGACGCTTTCTCCTCCTCTGTCCATCATCTTCCTCATCAGGCAAGTCCTCGTCTATCTTAGAATTATCTACACTAGATGCTTTAGCTGCAAAACAGATAATCCATCAAACATCATACTTAACTAAGGACAAGACGCGACCCACCTGCTAACATACATATAATTAGTAAGATAAAATCTAAATAAATAGGGAGTATATAAATGTATAAACCAAAAATTCAAATTGATAATGCCAAATGCATTTTCCAAATGAATGCAATGGAAATAAAAATTTACCATTGTCTTTAGTTGCCTGCTGGTGGGCAACGGCCTGAGCGTCTTTAACACTCCCAACAATCTCCATTTCTATCATCTCTTCAAAGGCTTCTTTCTGGGCCAGTAACTGTGAATATATAACATAAAGAGGAGGGGGAAGCAATTCTGCCGAATGCAGTTGCTTTAATTTCTTTGTGTGCTGAACTCCTAGTTGATGCTGAACAGGCAAAGATGCTTTCTTGAGTGACTTGAGATGTGATGGGAGGCTCAGCAAAAATTTCTTTCTGTTAGCTATGATCCCCTGAAGACTTTTCTTCTGCTCTTCGAGTTTCTCATGCAGTTTGCACAGTTCTTTGCGCTGGAAAAATAAAAGATGTAAGTGCTATTAAGTTGTAAACTTGTAATCCATATCTCAGCAACTAATTACCAGCATTAGGAATTCATCCAAACCCTAAGTGCCCTCAAGAACTTCATGCTAGAGTGTCTAATGGCTAACAAATCAGCAGATTCAATATTTGATGAAGTTGACATATCAGATTTGGGACATTAAGATTTATGGTTCATGATATAGACGATATATAGTTGATTTTATAATTTCTATCTTCCAATTATCTCAATTCATCATGATATTTTCTGTGAATGTGAAAAACCAATGATGACAGGCTTTAAAAAATCATCTCGTTGTTCATTTTTCATAAGGTCGTGAGACAAATTGGATATTTGGAGCCACTGTAAAACTGTCACTATCGCTTCTTGTATGGACTTATAGTCTTAAGTCAATTTAAGACAATTATTGACGCCCCAACATAGTAGAGATTAAGGCTCTCCCGATGATGACAACATATGGAGCGTTATATACCTGGAATAGTTCAAAATTGAGCCTCTTGAGCATTAAATTGTGAGAGCTGTCATTTGATATCACAGAGCTTTTAATGTTCTCCGGTGCATCTCTAAAGAACTCTTCCTCGGGAACAAGTTCAATGTCAGGGTACTTTGACTTGAAATCCTGGCAAGCCTTAATTGCTTTGAGATAGTGACTTTTTTCATACATCAAGTTGTGAAGCTGCAGTGTTGTGAAGTCCACGGGTGCTTTTGCGCGCTCCGTTTCGGTTTTTACACGATCTTCCTCCAGCAAGATGGCTCGATTTGCCTGTTATAGGACATTTGTGCAACATATATATGCAAAAAATGGTCAACTCACTGGCTTTGATTAAGCCAAAATGCTCAATTGCTTGGTAAGCAAAAACCTAGGTCAAAATCTAGAATCAATGCCATTGTTATTCTTAGTTTGAAGAAAATATATATGTAGTATTTTCAACAATCTCCTTACAAGTTATATAGAAAATTTTAATTTTCCAGCAGATTCACTTAGTCTGGTAGTTAATAATGGATTATGCAAAAAATATCAATCCTCAACCCAAGAACATCCCATTACTAGCAATCATGTTAATCCACTGCTCACAAACTTATATTAAGACTTCGATTTTAATGGAGTAAGCTCAATCATGAGCAGAATTTCATTAGATAATACTACCAATATCGACACAGCTCCATTATTCAATACACCTCACTTGCTACTCCGTGGTAGACCTAAGAAGATCATATGCTGAAAATCGTGAGACCGACCTGACGGAGGGTGACAAAGTTGAGGAGAATCTGAGTGACGAGCTCCCGATACTCAGATTTCGACTTGCCTTCCTTCTTAATTGAGAGCATCGATGAAACGATCTCCTCCACCGAAGCTTTGCTCTGCCGGAGAATCTCGTACGGGCACTTCTCCGGCTTCCTCTCGGGCAGTATCTCGCCTGGCTCTGCCATTGTGGCGTCCATCCTCTTCGGCGGCGGCGGTAGGTAGGTCGCTGCCGCAATGGTCTGACTCAGTTTCTCCTCCGACGCATCCCACTGCAGTCTTCAACACAGCTGACGTATGGGTGGGCATCCGGATTGGATGGGCTGTATCCGAATTTTATTTCGGTGATTCCGAGTGTCCAAACTCAGTTTTGGATTTGGACCAATTAATGAATTATTATCGCATATTTTGTGATGGCAGTATTTAACTTTTGTGTTTTTTTAATATTAATTCAAATCATTAAAATTTTATTCAATATCTTAACACTCATCGAAATGATATTTTTAAATAATGTCTTAAAAATAAATTTGAAAGTAAAAAAACTAAAGTATGAGTAAAAATTTGAAATTATATCAAAATATGAGTTTTAAATTTTTATTTCTAAAATAAAAGTTAAAAAACTTTACATTATATATCAATCATGGTCATGTACATTATCAAAAAATATATTAAAATATACATACACAGTATCACATTATCATGATGCGAACTTCTATTTTGAAAATAAAAATATGAAACTCTTATTTTGGTATATTCTCTCTGATTTACTCTTATTTAAGATGACTTTTTAAACTTGAACTAGTTTTAAAAATAGTTTTCATTTTTGTTTTAGATAGAAATAATTTGAAATGTTTGAGAACGTCTGATTTCAATTGTTTTAGAAATGACAAAGCAATAGATTATGCAGACGTCCGAAAGGCAAGGATGCCGAGATTGACTGATGTTTGGTGGTTATATACGCAAAATATTTGCATTGTTCTAACATTTACTTTGGTAACATTTACTTTGGGTAATTTTGAATTCCACTTCTACTGTTATTGTATAGCGCTCTTTTTGTTTAATATTTGAACATAAAAACTTTTTTCTGAGCGCAGAATCGTAAGTTTGAATTTTTCATTGAATTGATTCTTTGTCGTAGTATTAGAGTTGTTGACTAAGAGATCACAAGAATAAATTTCACGGTCGCTCAACTTCTAAAAAGTGAAAGTTCCAAATGCAAACTAAATAAATTTAAAGTTATGATAAGAGGAATTTGCCTAAATAAGACTAAAAATAAATTATCTCAATATATGACCATATGTTTTATTTCTCAATGTAGGACCATTGGTCATTATCCATTAGTCATTATTCAAGTAAATGTTCATCAACTCTGGACATTATTCCTCTTACTAAATATTATTAGATACTATTTAGAGAATAGAAATATTTAAATCCAACATTGAGAAATGATTTATATTTTAGTTATATTTAGAACAAATTTCACTTATGATAAATCGGCTCATTAATATTTAAGTTAATACAAGAAATATTAGGACTTGTAATGAGTATATTGAGAATAGCCCAAAGCCCCAAATGCAGAAGCTGGGCCAATATACTAGATTAATCATGTAACTAATTACGCTAATAGGCCCATGTCACCAGAGTGTGTGGTCCATGTGGTATGGACTATGGATCGAAATAATCCAAACTTAAAAAAATGACTAAGCATTTTGTAGTGAAGTCCAAGCCCAATAACCACTCCATTAAAACTTCGTCATTCATTGTGGCCGTGTTTGGAAAACAGCTTTTCGGATAGCTTTTGGCATCTTTGACTGACTTTGGCTTTTTTGACTAAGCGAACAGCCAAAACCATTGTTTGGCTAATGGCTTTTTCAATTGGCATTTTGATCCGAAAAGCCAAAATCTGAAATGCCAAGAGGAGTAACATTTGGACTTGGCTGTTAGAAAATTTATTTTTTTTAAATCATTTTTCTTGCAACATATTTTATAATATATGTAAAAAATAAAAATAAAAATAAAAGTTAAAAAAATTAAATACTAAAAAAATAAAATTTCAAATATAAAAATTTCAAAAAAATGAAATGAGAAAATAAAAAGTAAAAATCATTAAAAAGTTGTATATTAACAATTTCTTATGAATTAAATGAAAGTAAAATTTAATACTCCATATAGTAAAGATTTAATTTTTACATGTAAAAAAATGAAATATAAATATCCTGTGTGTGCGTGTGTGTGTGTTTGTCTACACACACACATAGGAAAAACTATTTTCAAACTGCTAATTTTACCAAACATTTTTAACGATCAGTCAATTTATCTTACCGGTCAAACCAGCTAAACTAAATAGTCATTCACAACAGCCGGCACGAACTGCCAACAACCAATAGCTGACAGCCAACATCCAAACAAGGCATGTGTGTTTTTTAAAGACCTTTGTCATTAGTCATGACAATTAATTGATTTCCTAATTTTATTGCTTTGTTTCAAAAAAAAATTGTAAAATAATCAAATGGGAAGAGTAAAAAAAATCATCTTACCGATCAAACCAGCTAAACTAAACAGTCATTCACAACAGCTGGCACGAACTGCCAACAGCCAATAGCTGACAGCCAACATCCAAATACGGCCTGTATGTTTTTTAAAGACCTTTGTCATTAGTCATGACAATTAATTGTTTTCCTAATTTTATTGCTTTGTTTCAAAAAAAAATTGTAAAATAATCAAATGGGAAGAGTAAAAAAAATTGTAACCTCATGACAATTAATTGTTTTCCTAATTTTATTCCTTTGTTTCAAAAAAAAATTGTAAAATAATCAAATGGGAAGAGTAAAAAAAATTGTAAAAAAATAGAATGCGAAGAGTAAAAATAATAAATAAACATCAATAAATCACTGTTAGTGAGACAAGCAGCCACAAGTGTTTAATATTCAAATATAATCAAAGGTTATTGACCTTTGTCATTAGTCATGACAATTAATTGATTTCCTAATTTTATTGCTTTGTTTCAAAAAAAAATTGTAAAATAATCAAATGGGAAGAGTAAAAAAAATCATCTTACCGATCAAACCAGCTAAACTAAACAGTCATTCACAACAGCTGGCACGAAGTGCCAATAGCTGACAGCCAACATCCAAATACGGCCTGTATGTTTTTTAAAGACCTTTGTCATTAGTCATGACAATTAATTGTTTTCCTAATTTTATTGCTTTGTTTCAAAAAAAAATTGTAAAATAATCAAATGGGAAGAGTAAAAAAAATTGTAACCTCATGACAATTAATTGTTTTCCTAATTTTATTGCTTTGTTTCAAAAAAAATTGTAAAATATAGTTTACCCTTCTCATTTTTTTTAACATTTTTTTATCTTACGCTTCTCATTTTTATTATTTATTTGTAGTTATTTAGTGACAATCACTCTGTTCGTCGGTGTTCACAAATTATAAGTTTATATTAGTTTCCAATAACTCGACTTCGATGAAGAGAGTGGTTGTTTCTTCTTGCTTGAACATAGAAAACATCTATTTCAATAACAAATTTTATCTCCATACTTATATTTCGTTTTTGTTTTATGACATTCTCCGGTGTGGGGGTGATATGTCTTCTAAAACCACTTTGGAACCAAACCTCTAAAAAGTACTCCTTTAATCCACCAAAGATTTTCTCATTACGCATTAAGAGGCTTAACCAATTTTATATTCAATATAATTTATTTGATTGTTGGGGTAAAATTTAAAAATAAAATTTATACAGTAAAAAAGTACATGACATATTCTACAAAATTAGTGGTGGCAACACTATATTATTTTATGAAACTAGTATTTTCACACGTGCCATGCACGGGGTGAAACGATTTTTTTATTTTATATTTTTTATTCAAATATCATTTTTAAAATATCGAACAAAATAAAGCATCAACCCTAAAAGCTAGAATAATGATAAGACACATTACATTTGTTAATAAAATTCTTATATTATGCATTTGAAATTTAAATGTCAAAGTCTTTTTATAAACTTAAACATTTTTTAATGAAATTTTTACATTATGCATTTGAAATTTAAATGTCAAAGTTTTTTTATAAACTTAAATGTCAAACTAATACTTTTAACTCTACTTTTACTCTCACTCGCAAAACAATTACTCCCTCCGTCCCGGAGTATTCGTCCAGTTTTGACTTATAGAACTGTTCATCTAAGCACTTTGACTCATCAAATTCTCTCAATGTGTAAGCCTAAATATAGTCATGTATGATCTTATTTGATTTGTCTTAATATATATATTATTAATATATAATTTCTATAATTTTTTAATATACAAATTACAAGATAAAATGGATTAAAGAAGTGTATTGGATGGTGTGTAAAAATTAAAGTGGACAAATACTCTGGGACGGAGGTAATATATAATACTCCCTCCGTCCACAATTAAACTTTACACTTTCTTTTTTCATTCGTCCACAAATAAACTTTACATTTCCTTTTTAGGTAAGGATTCCATACTAAAATGACTTTTATACCCCTCATTTTATTTTACATCACCCAACCCCCCCTACCCACCTTAATTAATCTAAATTACAGGTAGCAATAAAAATGTATTTTAATAGTAGAATTAGATTGACATTGTCAATATATCAAGAAATAATTATTCTGATGTCTAATAATTATGGATTACTTTCTTAGATTTCTATTTAACTTGTTTCTAAAGTTTATTCTTTTTCATTTTTAAGAAAAAAATATTGTGCTTCATATCATTTTATTTTTCTCTACATAAATTATAATCGCACAAAAGTTTTATTTTCTTTCTTCTTATATTTTTTCAAAAGAAATTAAATTTATTTTTTGAAATAATCGTATCAAGTGAAACAGGTAAAAAATATGAAATTTAAAAAGTATGGAATAAAATGACAATGATAATGATAATGATGATGATGATGATAATAATAATAATAATAATAATTCTTAATAATAATAATAATTCTTAATTAGATTTGATGAGATAAGGTCTGATCTAAGAAGTCATAATAACAAACAAACACGAGAGTCGGGTTATTATTTGAAAACAAAACTTGGGAAACACGATGAAATCCCTAAGCGGAGTAACACCACCGCTGGGGTTCCATCATCGCCGTCTCCTATTTCTGGTCCCTTTCAATCGCCTCTTCCACAGCAGGATTCACCTCACCGCTCCCCTAAATTACTGTGAAGAGTTATGCTTGGGATAAGAAATGTGTGGTGCGGAGAGAGGGGGCGTGTAATGTGGGGTACAACCCGAAACATTTTTATTCCTGGGATCCGCAAGGTTTGGACTAACATTTACGGTTCCGATTACGGTGCACGTCTTCCTCTCAAAGGTTAGAGTTTTTTTCTTCTTTTCAACGCCTATAGTTTTTTAATTTTTTGGGCAAAAGGTGTGCATATGGTCAATTTGATAGAATTGATAGTATATTTTGATATAAGAAAAGTATATTTAATTACAATACAAATTCATTATAATTGGGTTAATTTAGGATATACTCCGTATCATTTATCTATTTAGATTATGTTTAATTTGTGGTCAAAGAGAGTTACTATTTAACCAAAAAATCAAAACAGAAAAGGTTTTTAGGACCGGTGGGAGTAGTATTTTTTTCTTTTGCATTTTCTAATCTTTGTTTATACTTATGTATGCTTTTCTGATCTGTGCATGAAACTTTAGGCGGGAAAAAAAATCTTGCTGCTTTTGTAAAGAGTAAGATTTGTATTTAAAAATCTGTGATTTCTTGGAATCTGTTGAAAACAGGCTTGATTCGGTTGTTCTCTAATATGGAATTGAAGTCCATAGGAGAGCGGGGTCTTGAGTTAGGATCTTCATCCATGGATGGTATGTCTCCGGGGATTGATGATGATTCAGAGTCTTCCGAGATGAAATGTATGTCAGTGCATACGTCAAAGATACATAAACCTGGTGAGGAGCAAGTAAATTTTGACAATATACCCTTGTTGTCCTGCATTTGTGAGATGGATTATGTTCTTCGAAAATTTGGGGAGAAAGTAAAATTTGACCAGGAAACGATTTCTGATAAATACTTTCTGTTAGAGGTCATTCTGAACTCATCCGTTGTGACCACCCCATGGATCTCTTTTATCTTTGTAGAGATTTGCATGCAGTACGAGAGGATTTTGAGATGGTATTTGTTGCGAAATTGAGCAAAGAAGACAATTGTGGCGATGTTTTCAAAGAGAGCACAAAATGTCTTCCCACTTACTCTCTCGTTGTACCATTTAAGGAGTCGCATCGTCGTAACATTATGTGTGAGTGCCTTGACTTGGTTGATCAGGGTAGTTTTAAATGTCTCCTTGTGAATGTCAAGAAAGGCCTGGTGGTACATGGACATCCTGATTTCATGTCGCTTCTTACAGAGCATCTTCAGAAACTAAAACAGGAGAGTTCATTCGACTTCCTGCGCTCTTATAAAAGGATTTCCAAAATGCTATGGCCTGTGAATCCCGAAGAGCAGAAAACCCCCTTCCCAACTATAAGATCATGTCCAATAACCAGTAAATTGAATCATGCGGAACTTGAATATGAAGATCACATCAATATGATGGTTTCTGTATCAAAAACGCCATTTCCCATCGAGATTGGCCAGTCTTATGAAGGTGACTATCTCAGAACTCAGCACTAAGGTTGTCGCAGTGTACGTGTGCCTTGATGGACATCTCATTCCCACTCTCGCGAAGGTCTACAAACAATCCAGGGCTCAAGGGCTAGAATTTGAAATAGTGCTGGTCCATGCACCTTTTGTAGCTAACTCTCTTGACCCTGAGGTTTGCATGGCAAATTTTGAGAGTTCATTGCTGGCGTGGAATGCATCGTGGTGTTGGTTTCCATGTTCCAGCCGTCCTGACAAGCACTTCAACAGTTCTGTAAACTGTAGGGTCAGGCGATGTATTAAAGGGAATTGGTCAGAGCATATCATCATCGCGGGACCTCAAGCTACATTTGTCGAACGTTACGGAACAGAAATGGTGAGTTTGTGTGGGATTGACGCGTACCCATTCAGTATTGAGGGCATTATTGGAACAGAGTTGGAAAAGCTTGAGAAACTCACCCTGGAGTCGCTGCTGGAATATGGGGGGGCAAGAAAGTACTTCTTTACCTAGATACCCTTAGTCACTACCGTCTTGCTATGAAAGTGAGAGAGAGGTATTTTGAGATAAAGGAAAATGATCCTGATGTTGAGGTTGTCCTTGTTCGCCGCCGGCATGACTCCCCTGCTGCAATGCAGGGGGATGATGTGGCAGATGTGCAACTATCTGAAATGTTTCCTTGTTGGTATGTGTGCCCCTTTGACCCTCAGCACTCGGCGTACGTGGAGGAGACACTCTTCAAGTGGGGTTTGAAATATGATGCCATTGCTCAATTTGGAACAGATGGCAGGGTTTGTTCATTGGGATCACTGTTTCGTCTAGTAGCTGTTGGTGGAGCCAAAAGAGGTATTCGGTTTGATAAATCTTATCTACGCCATGATATCTTTAACCATTTGAGATACCAAGGATACTTGATGTGTGCTAGGCCCCCCCCACCCTTTGGAATGTTAGGGCTTGTTCTCTTCGTCTTATCTGATTCTATCTAAGAATAAGCTAAGTAAGAAGAAGAATAAGTAAAAGAAGAAAAAAACACTCTTAATTTAGCTCTTTAGTTTTCTTTTCTTGTGATCTGCATAGCTTGCATCTATTTAATTTTGTTCACTTTTCTTTAGTTTGGTTTCATCATCTTCTTTAATGTCCCGTCTACATACATCCCTGGTGCTGGTTTGGTGTACTACGCCTAATTCCCCATTGGTACAGTTTCTGAAATATATGCCTGCCCATATCTATATGGTAAGATTAATATTATACAGTTAAGTTTCATGTGCTTAGTTGGGTGAGAAAAAGACTTGTATACATTTATTTTGTAAATGTGTGCTTTAAAGTGCACACTTAGGAAAACCAGACAATGCATTTGTAAGTGCTTTAAAGAGCTGCCTTTGTTGTCAGAATTGCAACACCTACATCGTTCGAAAGTTCTCCTGAAGATTTTGTGTTAGCATTCCCTTTGGTGGTGCCTTGGTGTGAGCCTTTCCCGTGCAAATTTAGAATGATCAGTAAGCTCTCTTTGCTTCTTTGGTTCTATTCTAACCCATCTAAAGTTAATGCTTTTCTTCTTATAATTTTAGTTGAGTAAAACTAAGGTATATCCACATAGTTGAGGGATTGCAAAAATGACAGATGACCCAGTTGTAGCAAAACTGAATGTGGAAGTTCCTTGGTTAGGTCTATTTTCACACATATTCTGACTATAGATGGCCTATTCAGAGATATGGTACCAGAATTGGCCTTCAATTGTTTTCCTATCATATTAGCATTAGAGAAAAGGGATACAAAATCAAATTAATGAATTGGTAGTCCTTCCAGCCCAATCCACGTTAGGATGAGAGGGAATTCAACCAGAGGCGGATCCAGGAATCGGGAATTATAGGGTCCCGTTGAATATATATTTATACTACGTAATTATTCACATGCTATAAAAAATAAACTTTAAAAAACTACTCACTTCGTCCCAAAATATAAGCAACATTCCACTATTTAAAATCATGGGAACTTTTATTTATTTTTGCATTTTCATTGATTATTTGATAAAGTAAAATATTTTTGTCACCACTTGTTTTGTAGAACTTTTGACATAGTTTTTAAAAATGTAAGTTTTATTTTTTATTTGTAGACCATTCTTTAAATAAAATGGATTGAAAAAATTCAAAAAATTACTCCGTTTTGCGTATTGTTGTTTATATTTTGGGACGAAGAGAGTACTATTTAAATGAAGATTCAAAATATGATTCTCAAATGAATTTTTCAAAGTAATAACTTCTACATTTGACAATTTTTTGAAGATAAAATTTAGTAATTGGATAAAGTGCTTTTTTTGTTCAAAGTCTCGAAATAGAACGTACAAAAGATTTAAGGATATCCATAATTCTTCTTTATCTCACATTGAAAATGGAAGTAAATTGTAAAAAATACAAATAAAACAAAAATAGATTTGAAGTTTTTGTGAATTATCGCAAAGAGTACAAGTTTGAAGTTTTAATGTATTACATTAAAAATAAATTAAAAGTACGAAGTATTTTTTTAGGTTTTTTGTAACAATGAGGAATGAGATCAACATTGTATTTCTTGTTCAGTATTAAAGTATGAGGATAGATGTGATTTTAGTAGATTTAGAGGTTCTCATTTCGTTTTCAACTACACTAAATTTTGAAAGCACTCATAAACGAATTATATTAAACAAATGCACCTCTAGCACGTGCATTTTGGTTATTTAATTGTCAAATTAAAAGAACTTTAATAATTATTTAATATTACATCCATCTCATTGTATTTGTCCAGTTTGATTTTTTTTAATTCAAATTGGACAAACTTTAATATTCAATTATTCTCAATCAATTTTCATATTAGTATAATGAAATACAATATTGAAAATTCTTGATAAAATAAATCTAACTAAATTATTTTATGCTAAAATAGATTACAGTTAGAGAGTAATTGAAACTCAAAATTTATCTCGTTTGACTCAAAGAGGTTAAATTGAACAAATACAATCGAACACAAAGAATATTTATTTAAATTGAATGTCTAATGTAGTAATAGGCATTAATACAAAAAAGACTACCTCAAAAATTATTACATAAAATATATTGCATTAAAAATGTTTTGTCAGAGTACTTCAAGATAAAAAAATTTGAGATCCATAACATATATAACCTTCTACAAGGAGGTCTGTGCGGACTCAATGTGGGTCCACCTCTGTACATACGAAAAAAATAAAAGTAAATATACAAAAGTTAACCTAAATAAGACTTTCATTTTTTTATATATGTAGTGTCAACACATAATGCTAAAGCACTATGAATATCAATATATATTGTAGCATTATAAAACTAATATTTTAGTATAGTATTTAATATGATGTAAAATCTCACACCGAGTCGAACTACTCTATCCATTATATAAAAAAATTCTCCTTTTTTCATCTGTTCAAAATTTTTTTTAAATTTCTGTTAGAAATTAGTTTCACCCATATCGATTATTTTTAACCTACGAATCAAATTATACTTTTTTACCATTAATCTACATATCACATTATATTTTTACTCATTACATCCAAATGTATTGTTGGAAAATCAATACCAAGATACATTTTACTTAAATTTTTTAAAAGCTAAAATTAAAAAAGTTTTGCAAAATGAAAAGAATATATTTACCATATTACCAGTTAAATCTGGTTCGGGATTGTATCATTAGGCATGCTCGTCCTTAGTGTGAAAACATTGGATTGGGCGGTGGGTGAATGGGGTAGCCCTAAACCTTATTAATTTCCCACGAGAGCCCATCACCGTTCACTCACGAGTCACCTCCTGAAATTCATACCCGGCCCATCAAATCGTGTTTGTTGCTTGTTTGTTTTCTTTTAAAAATCCATCAATTTACCTCATTTCCATATTCATTTTTCTCAACAAATATAGTAATCCATATTTCTTTTTACTCCGTTTTTTAAGTCCTCACACAGTCACACACAAATGTTTTCTTTAATTACCATACCGTGTCCCTCCGACGGCGCATAAACACCACACGTGCAAACACATTTTTTAAGAACACAAAAATATTTATGCGTGAAAAATGTGGTCTATAGTTTTTTAAATCAGAGTATTTATAATAACTTATAAACAAATACTTATATTATAACTTAGTAAATAAAAACCTATAATATAACTTAAACAACATGGGGGTTGAATAAAAAGTAAATATGTTTTTGTTTTTTTTATATATTTTTTTGTTTTTTTTTAAAAATGAGGAAAAACAAGCTCATATGATAATCACCTTCTCCAACTTAGGTAACTTGTGAAACACCACCAAGAACCCAAAATAAAAAAAAAAGAACAAACACGAGTCAAACATTACACGTAAAATAAGCATGCAAACAATATATTATCTAACTTACATACTTAAGAAGATGAAAAATCAATCTTAGACTGAGTCGATTCATTTCCTTAACCACGATATGAAAAATTGTTCACTCTCCATACAACCCATAGTCATGCAATTCAAAGACCCATTTTGAACTATACTTTTGAATCCCAACTCTCTATTCAAGCATGAAAACATACTTTCACTATAGAAAAAAGTTTATAAAAGAGAGAACTATTATGCATTCAACTGTCATACATAATGTATTCAGAAATCGGCCAACAAGTTATGCATTTTAATAAATTCAACTTCTAATGATGAGCACATTTGACATATTTTCATGAACTTTTCAAAACCAATGACGTTTTTCTATTCACATAAATTAACAATACATATTTTCAAAAAATCGAGAAAGAATTGTTTTTTAGCTTAAACAACCTCAACTTAATGAAAATGACAAACAAGCACACGATGCCATAACTATCTCACAATAACAAATTCTAAGAAAATGGATAAACTTATGGGCTAAGAGGTTCAAAAACCTTAAAATTAACAAACACAAATCACATTATTGTTTTTGAGTTTTCAGTTCTCTATTAAGATGAATAAAATGCTTTTTATTCACTCTCTGTTTTTAAATTTAAAAAAATACTTCTCCTTTATTTATTTTCTCTATGTGTTTTAACAATGCCTGAACCACGCCATATTAGTGTAGATATACTCATTTTTGGAGTGGATTTAGCAATACATTTTCTTTTAAGTTTTGATTTTTTTGATCAAAACTGTGGCACCCTTTCACCACGAATTGAATATAATTGCAAATAATTAAAAAATTATAAAAATTTGATATTTCAAAACCAATTAACCATGTAGTATATTTTAAAATAAATCTAATTTCATTAAATTTACATTATAATTAAATATACTTTTTTTAATTCATAGTAAAAGAGTGTCACAATTCGACCAAAAAGTCAAATTGTGACAATCTTTTAGAGATGAAAGAAGCAAATCTTTAATTAAAGATCTTGGTATGTACGGTGGACAATTCCAACCATCCGACACAATTATTTCAATGACCCAAGACGTGATATTTGGTTGATAAAAAAAATAGGGTGTGTCTCTATTAAATTGGTTCAAATTGTGATACATATAGATAACTTTATCACTAAAAATACATAGTACAAAAGGGGAAAATTAGATGTAAGTTACGTAGTAATTATTTGTCATGTCTATTCAAATTAAAGTATGTGTAATTTCTTTAAAAAAAATATTCAATAAAAAACTTAAAAGGAATGTACCCAATAAAATGAACTCCGGAGTGTGCACATGTTAAAATTCAAAAATCAATTTGAAATGGTTTTAAAACTCCATCCTCCAATCTATTCGTACAATTTAGTATTTCGAATAGAACTAAATAAATTTTGCTCATCAATTAAATTAAACTAATTTTAAACAATTTTATCGGTTTTATAAGCATGTCATCAATTGAATTATAAATTAAAAATATTTATAAACAATTTTAACTAGCTCATAAATAGAGACAAATGCATTTTAAAAAACCAAAAAAGTACCACAAGTCCACTTTTTAAAAAAAAAAAAATGAAAATAAAAATTGATACGCCTAGCTGGGCAAAAAGAAATTTAAGACACTTCTCTATCACTCTTCTCCCTCTCTCGTGAAAGCGAAACGAATTAACTTTGTGCTCTTCCATTCCCTTCCCTCAATCTATTTAGCATTCTCGCCTGCCTCGAGTGTAATGACTCCCGCAGAGATTTGAGGCCGGTGTGGCAATGCCGGAGCTAGGGTTTCACGATCAGGTTTCCGCCTTCCGGGCCCGGGATGTAAGTCCGGACTCCGTCATCTTCACCGCCGACTCCAACTTGAGCATCTTCTCCTCTGCTTCCGCCAGCGTAGACCGATGCTCCTTCGCATCTGACTCCCATGACCACGAGGATCCTTGCTTGTCCGACACTTCTCAGCCGGTATTTTCAATTTCTCTCATTTCGTTTGATTTCAGGATTTTTTTTTATATTCCTTGCTGCCGTCTAGTCAGTGCTAGTTAAATTGGCTCAGACGAGCTTGATTTTGAGCTCACATCCATGGAATAAGATCGCTCGATTGAAACAGCATTTGGATCTCGATCGTATATTCAGTTCTTCGTTTCAGGATTTTTTTCTTCCAAATGTGCTCTCTGTGTACTGTGTAGATAGATAGACAAAACAGTTCATTGTTCGTAGACTTGCATGTTCATATCTGTTTGCTTGTAAAAGTGAAGACGATGAAACAGGTGAGAAGTGAGAACACATCTCTGCTCGATTTGTTTCCTTCGGAAAATGAAATTAGGAGTAAATAATAGACTTAAACGGGAGTGAATATTGTTGTCTGCTGATATTGGCAGTGAGAGGACATGTTTATACTATTAAACTATAGCTAATGGTAATGGAAAT